AGCACATAACCAAAAGCAGGAGAGATAGTAGAGTACGTCTCTTCCCCAAACTACAACCAGTGTTGAAATACCTTGGTTACCCTCAGCTGCAGTGATGCTAAAGCTTCTCTTTCTCAAAGTATCGTCTTTGCACCAAGGCCGCTGCACTGGTTCGCCGTGCTACACTGCTCAAACTTGTGAGTGTCCTGACAGAGTCCATGAGAGTTAGCGGTCTGCAAATCAACCTACCACGCTTCGCCTCCAGCAGCTAGCTGAAACCCATAAGGGCAGACCAATCGACCAGTTTGATGCCAACTTACAACCAAGAATCTTAACACAACGGTCCAGAATTGGTCGATGCCATTCATTCAAAAAACAAAAAACAAATGTCTTATGATCCCTTGTCTCCCGCATGTCGACTAGTGCAAAGAAACAATCAATCAAAGCATAGGTTGCAGCTCCTATCACTTCAGGAAGCCTTCTTCAAGGTGCTCAGACGCAGACTGGTAGCAAAAGCTCGACATGGTACGTACAAATATGGGCTTAACCAGCTGGTTGGTAGATTGATGTACAATGTAGATACTGGAGGTAGAAAAGAAAACTGTGATCTACCAACCAGTCGCTTTCGCTTTGCACGTCCGTGCCCGGCATCCTGCTGGAGCTGCAGCTCTCAGGCGGGCGTCGGTCGCACCAGGACGGTGGTACCGTGCAAGTGACTGGCGGTTCGTGCGTCTCCGTCGACTCAAGTGTTCTCCGTCGACTCGAGAGTCTCCCCTAAAGTGGGGAACTTTCTATGGCCTCTCTTTGGGCCCGTTTTGGCATGCCGTGTTCCACCGTGCACCCATTTCCCCCCCTCCAAAAAAAATCCTCCAGTGAATGGAGAAACGAAACGCCTCCAACCTCCATTCGCCTCCACTCATCGATGTAACTCGAACACATCAAGTTCCCCGTCGTCCGTTGCGAAAACGCAGAACCGTCCGGCGTTCCTGAGGGAGTTCCTCCAGTGCCCGGCATTGCTCCCTGCGCAGCATTGATGAGATCAAACAGGTTTCAAAATGGGGATCAACAAAAGCTGACACATGATTTGTGCAATTCCTCCTGATTTTCTGTTGCATGACTTACATATGTCCACTTGTGTCTCCTCGTCAGCTCTGCGGAAGCTACTTCGGGTTTCGCGTTGCATGTTCCCGTCTTACAAAAGCATTGCTCTTTCTCAGCATGATGAATTCCTGCAGCATGTATCATCTACCGTTTTTGCATGTTGTTGTCAGGAAGAAAAGTTTGTTGGGGGTGATTGATGCTTCACGCAAGCCCCAGCGACCAAAAAGGGACGAAGACAGTCTGGGGTCGGCTCAATACGGGGGGTCTCTTGACTCGACAGTGTCTATTGCTCCACAAGCATCAAATTAGTGTCACAAACCCGAAGCACGGGTCAGAAACCCTGTGTTTGAAGGCTTGGGCTCATATTACCCCTGACAAGCCATGTGTATGTTCTACAGATGAAAAGTTATATATTATACAGCTATATATCACCCACTCTCTGAGTGCAGTGCTACATGGATTGGGCCCTGGGTGATGTTGGGATGGATGGAATGTCCGAAAAGAGTGCCACTGGGATTGATGAGTTCTAAAGCTGGAGAATTGATCCTCTTCCAACAAACATCATCAAACATCTACATCTACAGTGTCTACATCAGTCTACATCAGCCTACAGCATATACTTCCTGTACAAACCGGGGGGTTGTCCACTTCCATGATTGTTGGGAGGGAGAGGTAAACGTCTCTACCCATCACCAAAAATTGCCTGGTTCACCGCAGCGCCACCCCAATGGCCGCCTGGCACGCGCCACGCAGCACGCGCCACACAGAGATCACAGGAGGGAGTGTCTCATGTTGATTGATGCAAAGAGGTTACTTTGAGCTCATGGCTCAAAGGTAGAGACAAATCACTCAGGTGCATCCACTCCACGCTTTGACAACTTTGGGCCTCCATCCTGGCGAAGATCGTGAGAAGCCAACCTCGTCGTGCAGCGAGAAGACTCGTGTTTCGGTGGAAGAAAACTCACACAGGGTATCGGTCCGTTGTGCGTCCGATAGCTTCAAAAACGATATGGCACGATGGATGACTGAAGGGTCAGGATGGAAAAAAACGGACCAGTTGAGAAGGCAGGAGCCACCGAACCCTTCAACGCCAATTCTTCACACAAAGTCAGACTGCAAGTCAGACCAGTGCAAGGTTTCTGACTGCTTCTGTGCCCAACGGATGGCTGCAGCACGCAGGAGTCTGCATGACTCGCGAACGCAGACTGACTTTGGAGACCAAGGAGGGATCGGACGCTACGAACGGGGCTCCTGGCATCGCTACTAGGAGCAAGAAGCTACTAGGAACCCAGGCATCGCTACTAGGAATCCCTTGGAATCCGGCGTGGGCGCATCAGGCATCGATGCCGGCCGTCGACCTCCAACCTGGTCCAGGGCGGATCCAAAGTCTGGGAGAATGACTGGGTGCTGTGGTGCGTTTGGTGATACGTTCTAATCCAAATCCACAGAGCTTGGATGCGACGCGACCTCAACGCTGACTGGATTGCCTGCCGCAAGCTCAGTGGCTCTCTTCGTCCTGCATGAATGCAAAGGAGGTTGTCATCGTACAACCACGAGCATGGGCAGTGCTAAGAACACGGCAAGCAAAGGTGAAGTGCAAAGGCTGCTTGACTGTCAACCCTTAGTTTTGCTTCCGTAGATTGACATTCACTCAAGCGCGTGTTGATGCGTAAACAGGGTGTCTTCGACAAATCTCAGTATCCATCCATTTCTCCTTCATGAAAGCTGAACAGGAGACACAGAAAACCACATCGCTGTGCGGGTTCAGACTTGAGCTAGGGATGTTGAGGTGCAGATTGACGGACCGCAGGTTGTGTGTGTGGTGTACTCTGGTGATCTCTGGTGTACTGTATCAGTTTGGGGAACCCCTAAACTGAGCGTGTGGAGCTATAGAGCTTGAGTGACATAACTGAGCTTGTCCATGAGTGGCATAATATTGAACGTATACTAGTATTTACACATACAAGTGCTGTATAATTCTACTGCATGTCATTTAGCCGAGCCTGAAAGACAACCATCCTGCGGCTCCGACGGGCCTCCGATCGGACCTCCATCTTTGCGGCCCAAGGCCAAGCGCCTCACCTCGGATTCGGCAAGCTTCACGCAGCTCGACAACCTCCACTGGAGGTGGAGGTCAAGTTTATCAAGCTCCAACTCCAACTAACTCATTCTGTGTCATCATCCCCAACTCCACCGGGGTCTTTCATCCCCCTATAAGCTCTTCACCGCCCACCTCCAGTTTCCGAGTCCCGAGGATCCGTGCACCCCGATCCAAATCTTTCGGTTCCTCACGCGCCAAGAGCCTCAGAACCCGCGGCTCGGCGCAGCGGCTCGGCCGTTCGCCGCGCCGTTCGCGGAGAGGCTCGCCGCGCCGTGATCAGATGCGGAATGGGTGGACCGAAGAAGTCGAAGGTGCCAGGTGAGACGAAAGGGTGATCCTCCTTCAACCGGAGATGAGTCTGGTGCTTGGCCTTTCATTGTTCAAGAAGTTGTGCAATGATCTCAGATTGGAGATGATGTGCAATCATCTGCTGGCACCCGAGGTGTCTGAGCTCCTGACAATTGGTTGCTGTCGTGGTCAGGGCTCTCCTGTAAATATCTTAGGGAGGCCAACCAAGATGAAAGCAGCTCAATCATGTAACAGCGCTCCGAAACACTGCAAAACAGCAGAAGTATCATGAGAACTTTCAGCACCGAATGCAAAGACCAAAGGCCACCCACTGCGGCGTTTTCAAGAACGAACCATCGCACAGTCGTCGTTGCGTGAACCCAAAACATCTTCCGTCGGTCGTTGACTCTTCGAGCAGTTGGTCGACAGCCTACACCGTAAACAGAAACCAAGACCAGAAACCAAGGGACTCGTCCTGCCCAGTTGGGCAAACCCCTCTGACAACGGGAGGCTAGTAGCTTCCTAGTAGCTTCTTGTTACGTTCGTAGCGATGGCCTCCAACCTACTCGCGATGGCCTCCACCGAGCATAGCACCCTTGTATGTTCGGAGGCTCTTACTTCTTGAACTTTCTTAGACCAAACAAGTTCGCCTCCTCATCCCATTCGTTGCTTCGGCCTCAAACTCAGATTCCGCCGTGGCTGGCGACACCCATGCAACGCTTTGAGACAGCAACTTTCACATACTGTGTGTTTTTTTTTAAACAAAGGAAAGCTGGCGGTAGGCCACCCCTGATAAAGGACCATCAGCTTCGGCAGCACCTTTTGGCACATTCCAAAATAAGCAATGCGTAAATATGGCTGGTGACTTCCCTTGAAACATCAACACTGGACGGCAAAACTAAAGCGTGCCAACGAGGTTCAAAAGTCAGGAGCCACCCACGCCATGAGGGTTCAAGGGAATCTTCGTGCAGGTTCTAATTATTGAATTATTGACTACATGCCAGACATGTCAGTGGCTTGATGAAATCAATCCCGCTCGCTGCACGTCAGAATCCCTTGAAATACTTGTAAATATTGGCTCCAAAGCATGGGATCTGAGATATACTTTTGACACTCAATAGCTCCATATCTTGAGCGGCTATGAGCGGAGTGAAGCCCTGCATGTTTGCATGCTGCCTGCCTGATGTTGTCTGTGTAAATACAAAAACAAAAAACAGCTGCAGTCGAGCTCTCAATGATAATACAAATCTGAGGGAGACATTCACTCAATTGAATTTGACAAAACATGCGAAAATAGTTATTTGTCACTGGAATCCAAGCATTTCTGCATGGATATGGATCAGGCCCAGTACCAAAGCGACGTAGGCTTGCTCACTGCAAGGTGGCGTTGAAAGTGAGACCGGACACCGACCCGGTTGCAGAGTTGTTGGATGTTGTTGGATTGGTGTTGTGCTCATAATTAGATCGTTAAGAATCAGTTTTATATTGATCACTCCTGTTGCTTCAGCTCTCTCTTCAGCTTGCCGCTCGCCTGCTCCTCTTGCTTCTTCTTGGGGCCACCACACGCCCATCGAGGATTCAGGTGCAGCAGCATCTGCGGCGACGCGGAGCGGCCGACAGACGAGTCGCCCGCGCGACGGCAGAGTCTGACTCGGAGTCGCCCGAGACTGAAGGAATAGAAAGAAAACTTGAATAGCAGGGACATACTGATGCTTGAAACATGTTGAAACAAAAACTTGGATGACATACTGAAGCAAATCGTACACTCATGCACAACAACTGCCTGGTCGCTGAAGGCTAGGGCCACCAAAGACCGCAGCTTGTCAACATCTCCTGTCACTCAAACTGCCAGCTCCTGTCCTACTGTACCCTGCCCTGCTGAATACAAACGGAGACTTGGATTCCCTTGACATGATTTCAACCACAAAAAACATGAATCCATGCCCATGGAATCCAAGCTTGTAGGATGTTACGGATATTCCCAGCCATCGTAGATGCTGCCGCCCAAAACGCGACAGCCCAGCCCGCCGCCCGTCCGGGTGACCGGAGGGGTCCTGTAAAAATGCGCTCGACCCGTCCGCGACCAGTGACGCGAAGCAGATCCTTAGCATGAAGCTGCATGTACCAAACATCTTGAACAGCAGTTTGTGAAAAAATCTGCCAAAGCAACACAACAATACCTTCAGTCACACTAGTAGCAATCACTTTCAAAGTTGCGCCCATCTTATTACTTTTTCCAATCACCCGTGCAACCACAATGACCTCTCAACGAGCACCGAAGCAGAGACAGCAAGAAAGCAGCGAAAAAGGCACTTCTTTTCGCAGCAAGCCAGCGACTCGACTCTTTGATCTGCACCCATCTGCCCTCGAGACAAGGCTTCGTTGCAGGCATTTGGCATGGAAGCCCCAAGGTCCACACTTCCCAGTATTTCTAGGAAAGTGAACTCCAGGTTCAACAGCCAGCGATGGAAATCACGGCCACAAGGAATACTGGAAGGCATTGGTTGGTGGCTTTTCAATAAACAAAGAGGTGCACTAGGTAGGCTGCAACAGCATTGGCCTGCGACACTATTTGGGCCCCCTAGTGAGAGACTCCATCTGGATGGATTCTCTTCAGCTGCTGCTGATTGGATTCGCTGAGCGATTCAGCTTCATTGGCAACAAAGGCGTCTTGATGGAGGTTTTCCATCTCCGGCTCCGTTGGTTGACCCCACGTTCGTGGTCACTTGAAGACCTCGTTGCTGGGGTACAAATGGCTCGTCCGGAAGTAGCTCAGCAACACCCTCCTGGAAGCAGTGGAACAGTACCACTAAGTATATCAATGCACAGACAGAGATGCACAGAGTGGTGTTCAAAATATGTCAATTGTCCCCAATCTGAACGAAAGGCTTTCGGCATCTGCAATTTGCACTTGCCAAGCTTCGAATAGTCTGAGCACATTCTTGCCACTCATGGCTGAAGTGTCCAGCAAGAACCTCAGGTATCAGTATCCGTATCTGCAAAAGTTTGGATGTTGCTGCGAGCGCTCTATACTGTACCACAAGGCAATCTTGTTGAAAGACACTTCTTCTTGAATATGCGAGACACCATAAAAGCCTAAACAACAGCTTCGCATGGTGCAAAACAAAGGTGCAAAGCCAGAGCCCTGAAATCAGCCTTGGAGATCTTGTCGATATCCCGTTCAGTGCCACCACTGCTTCACCGGTTTCCAAGTCATATTGTCTGCTTAGGCTTGTTCTTGGCAAGGGACAAACCTTCTTGCTGCGCAAAGGCTTCTGCCTTTTCCCACGGCACTTGTCGCTTATCTTCCATGTCGGCCTGGCGCAGGTCATCACAAACTCTCCAAAAAGGTGGCACAACACCTGCGCCGCGGCCCGGAAATCGTCACCCCCAAGTAACTCACTAATCCAACGGACCAACCTTGCGCGAGGGTGCAGCAGCAAGTGGCTTGAAATATGGCACTGCCCGCTTGCTAGTTGTAGAATTATGTTGTACAGATTAGGACCGTATCATTCTTTGCCATTGTATACTTACTGCCACGGCCACTACTACCTACCTACGCTGCCGCTACTATTTACCACAGCTTCCATGATGGATTCCCTTGCCACTCCCACTGCAGCTTGGTCTGATGGCCTCTGATGGGTGATGGCAAACTCCGTGTGGAGTTTCAAAGCAAATCACTGTACTGTAGGGATCCCCAATGGTATTCAAAAAAGGGTCCTTCCATCCTTCCTCTGCTTCTAGGACTATGACTCGAATCGGAATGATTCGCTGTTCTGTACCAATGCACGCTTACTGTAGGTTGTGTTCCGCATTCTTGAATCAGGATGGCCTTGTTGGCTGCCAGGGCGATGACGATGTTGGGATTGGTACTGGTGGACATGACCTGCGGTTGTTCGGACAGTTGAACCAAGAAGTCCACATCTTCCAGCAAATCACAGGAAGATGGCTCGGCAGCGGTATGGCTCTGCATTAAAGGATTTGGATGGCAAACAAAAATCTGCTTTAAAAAAGTAAAAAAACCATCTCTGCGGGGTGAGACTGTGAGACGTCTTGATTTCCTGGTATGAGCTCAGTGGGGTATCTACCATTGGAATGTCGAGGCCATTCCAACACTTGAAATCACATGTTTCGCTCTCTCGCTCTGCCTGCCGCACCCACTCTTGTGCCCGCTCGAAGGTCACTGCATTGGTTTGGTCGTAGACGACCACCGCTGCAGATGCCCCCCTGGGCCAAAACGGCGAAACCGAAAGCGAAACCGACTGCGGACAATGTCTGCTGCGTCTGCTGTTGCCCAACTTGACCACATCCAACAAGACCTCTCTGGCCCACAACAAACCCACAACATGGGGCTGCTTTGTTGACCACAACCACGTGATGGCGCACATTCCAATGGGTCCCAATGGCCGATATACTGTGTTAGCATGTGCCTTGTTGGGGATACCATGGGATACCACGTTTCTCGATGTTTTTAGCTGCAAAGAGTCTTGTTCAAAACCCCAAAAAGAAACGTGCAACGGAAGCAAACAGGCGCCTGTAGTACATGGGTGCTAGGCTGCGAAATCGTTCTTGCCCAGCGGTGTCCCAGATTTCGAACTTCACCTTGCATGATCAAAAGGTTTGGAGGCGACTCTTCCCCATGAGCAAGTCGCCTCATTGCGGGTTTGTCAACATTGCTTCGTCGTCTTACAAATACACAGGATGTCGTCCTGACTCCTTTAAATCCACAGATCCAATGGTGCCTTCATCATCTCCACCAAAGGTCCCCTTGTCACGTTCATTGATCCACTGGGTCCCCTGTTTTCAAAACATCTCAAGACTTGAAGGTCCAGGCTGACAAGCATTGGTGGGATCATGTCATCATCACTTCACCGAGAACATCTCTTGACATTCAGAAGACTTTCTTGAGAACGGCACCCGGATCATTTTGGAACCTCAAAACGGATCATTTTGGAGCACAGAGGAACAGAAAGCTCTCCAGGACCGCAGTCTGACACCAGTTTCGCGGATCATTTTGGAACACACATCCTTCGGTAGTGCTTTGAAGGCATCATTTGTTAGTCAAAAATGCGCGTTTCGTACGAGACTTCCTCCAAAAGTGAGCCGTGCAAGTTTGCAAAACGAGCGTTTCGTATGAGACTTCCTCCAAAAGTAAGCCGCGCAATGCTCCAAAACGAGCGTTTCGCGCAAGACTTCCTCCAAAAGTGAGCCACACAAGTCTTCCAAATGAGCGTTTAGGAGTTTAGGAGTTTCCTCTAAAATCTAAAAAATAAGTGATCCACGCAGATCCACGCAAGCCTTCATCAAACAAGCGTGTCGTCCGAGACTTCCTTAAAAAATGAACATTGCACGTCCCAAAAATGAGCGCTTCGCACGAGACTTCCTCCACAAGTGAACAGTTGGGTTTCTTTTGGTTTGCCTTAGGGCGTTTGACTCAGGGCTTCACTTCTTTAGGGTCTCTTTTGGTTTTGCTT